TGTCCATAGCTGGGAAGATTCTCACCTGCATTCTCCTCAGTAGACTATTTTTCCTTACTGAGAAAATTCTCCCTGAGTCTCAATTTGATTTCAGATCACTTAGGAGGTAGCAACAAGATAGAATCTAGTATAGACAGCTACAGAAGTGACATAGATCTTTACATGGCTTTCATTGACCTGACTAAGGCCTTAGATTCAATCAGCAGAGAGGCCTTATGGAAGATCCTGATGCCATCTGGATGCTTGCCAAAATTTCTTACCAATATCAGCTTTCTTCATGATAACATGATAGCAAGAATCCCAATTCTTGCTTGGAAATGGACCTCTTCACTACTCCATCCAGAGTCTAGTAAGGATATGCGATTGTACCAACATTCTTTTCAACCTACTGCAGCTATTTTGGATCTCACTGCTGACAGACAGATCCGCAGTCAGCATCTGGTATTGCATGGATGGGAGTCTCTTTACCATCAATTGGTTATGTTCCAGATCCAAGATAACCAACACCTCCATTACTGATCTCCAATATGCTGATGATTGTATCATATGTGCCCATTCAACTGAAAAGCTCCAGGTAACTCTTGATTGCTTCTGTGAAGCATATGAAATGACTGGACTCGCCATCAACTTCAAGAAAACCAAGATACTTTACCAACCCACCCTAAACCAATTAGTTGCTCATCCATAAAATTACAATTAGAGAGCAATCTGTGGAGAATACTGAGTATTTCCCCCACCTGAGTAGCTACCTTTCCCAAAAAGTACAACAAGGTATTAATACTTTTGAACAAATCTGCCTTACTATGGAGGCAGAGACACATAAGGAAAGAGGTATGACCCTACATCACCAGAACCTACTCCTTCCTCCTTTGCCACATCTGCAATTGAACATGCAGATCTTGGATTGACCTCTGACATACCACCGACTTCCCCATTTACTGGAAAACTGTACACTTTGTATCAAGGGACTGCCAATGCTGCTGATACACCAGGCTGTACTTGCTTCCATCCATAAGCCAGTGAGGAGAGGAAAGTTGTCCATGAACCAATTCCCAGAAGGGCTGTGTTTGGTATGGAGCAAGGGAATCTAAGATGCATCAGCGAGTTCTGAGCAACACAATAAGAATGAACCTGTGGGTGGCAGAACGATGGGACACACAATGTGGTCTTACCACTGGGCACCTGCATACCATATTAATCTATTAAACCATATAACTTTTTCATGTTACCGACGTTTAGCTCATTGCATTGAGTTACAGGGAGCATGAATGTGCCACACAGAACAAAGGTCTACAACAGGCATATTTAGAATTTATCATTATCAGACATTTTTAGGTGTTTCCACTGGTTCAATTTCCAGGAATACAGCAGCATGACCATTCTCTCTGACTTCAGCAAAGTACAGGACTGGGTTCAAAAAGCTGATGGTGAAGAAAGGAATGAACGACATGCCAACTGTTACAGGATGTTGTTCCATCCTTCTTTCTTGGAAGTATTTTTCAATATTCAAATCTAAAGGTGAACAGTCTCAGTATAGTTCATCTGGAATTGTTCTCATCATACTACAATCTCTTCTTAAACATGCTTGTTTTTAGTAATTGTTGATATAAAGGAAGCAGAACCAGTGTTAGGAAGTGAAACATACTACTGTAACTGAATGGAAATTAACAACCGTTTAGTACAAAAATTCTAATAATAAAATGTTTTTGTTAAAAATAACCAAAACATGATCATTCATAAAAGTAAATTCTAGAAGAGTACTGTATTGTGAACTGGAATGATAGGGCAAAAAGGTTGACAAATCAGTGATTTTGACAAACTGGAGAGATGGATGGTTTAAAATGAACAAGATAAATTCAATAGTGGAAATTCAAGAAAGGAAAGAATGAAGATCCAGGGAACTATAGGCCAATCAGTTAGACCTCAATCTCTGGAAATATCTTGGAAAAAAAAAAAAAAAAATCAAAGAAACCAGCAACAGGCTAATGGAAGGCAACATTCTGAGAGAGAGCCAACATGGCTTCGTTGCAGGTAGGTCTTGCCAGACCAACCTGATTTCCTTCTATGACCAGATAACGCATCACCTGGACAAAGGAGAAGAGGTTGATGTCATATATTCAGGTTTCAAAAAAGCCTTTGACTTGGTCTCCCCTGATGTCCTCATAATAAAATTGGGGAACTGCAGCCTCAACAACCTTATGGTCCGATGGCTGGGAAACTGGCTCCATGGTCGGACCCAGAGAGTCATAGTCGATGGAACCAAGTCAACACAGAGCATAGTGACCAGTGGCACCCCCCAGGGCTCAGTACTCAGACTAGTATTCTTTAATATATATATAATTATCTGGATATGGATGTTAGAAGTGGACTGGTTAAATTCATGGATGACACCAAGTTATGGGGAAGTGCAGTCACTCTAGAGCAGTGGTCTCTAAACTTTTTTGATCGCACACCCCTATCAGTAAAAAATTTGAGCATTCACCCCCAATACATGTATGTTTATATTCGCGCACCCCATCACTAAAAAAATTTTGAGAATGCACCCCCAATATATGTGTATTTATATAAATAGAAGTTCTAATATTTTCTTCCCGCACCCCAATGGATCGTCTTGCGCACCCCACTTTGGAGACCACTGCTCTAGAGGATAGGCTGGCAAGTCAGGCTGACCTGGACACGCTTTCAAGGTGTGCAAATCAAAACCTGATGACATTCAACATAGAGAAATGCAAGGTGCTGCATCTCAGGAGAAAAAACCCGCAGCATACTTATAGGTTTGGCAGCGCTACGCTCACTAGCACCATGACTGAAAGAGACTTGGGGGTCATAATTGACCTGAAGATGAACATGAGCTCTCAATGTGATACCGCAGCTGGCAAAGCAAATACAACTCTGGCTTGCATCTACCAATGCACGCAAGCAAGACCCAAGAAGTCATCCTGGCCGCCAGTCACTCAGCCCTCAGTGAGGCTGCAGGTGGAGTACTGCATCCAATTCTGGGCTCCACACTTTAGAAAGGACGTGGAGAAACTTGAGAGAGTCCAGAGGAGAGCCACGCACATGATTAGAGGTCAAGAGAATAGGCCTTATGAGGAGAGGCTGAGAAGCATGAGACTCTTTAGCCTAGAGAAGCAAAGTCTCAGGGGTGACTTGGTTGCAGTCTATAAGGGGTGTGGCATCAGGAACTGGGAGAACATCTGTTCACCTGGGCACCCTAAGGAAAAACAAGGTCTAATGGTCACAAACTGCTGGAAGACCGTTTTAGACTAAACATAAAGAAAAACTTCTTTACCATCCAAGTCTCCAGAGTCTGGAATAAACTCTCCCCAGAAGTGGTGCAAACACCTACTCTGGATACCTGTAAGAAATGCCTGGATGCTTATCTTGCTGGGGTGATCTGACTCCAGCTGACTTCCTGCCCCTTGGGCAGGTGGCTAGACCCAATCCTGCAAGGTCCCTTCCAGCCCTAATGTCTACGAAACAGAGTTCAGTACAAAATGCTGCACTTAGAAAAATTAAACATACAAATAAATGGGGACTAGCTGCTTAAGCAGTAGTACAGTCATAATGGATCATAAATAAAATGTGTAAAAAAAGATGTTAAAGAAAAGACTCTCTTTAATTCACTAATAGGAGTGGCATATATAAGCCACAAGTGGTAACTATTCTCTACTTGGCACTTGTGACACTACAGATGGCATACCATGCCCAGTTCTGGGCATCACACTTAAAATGATTACAAACTGAAAAAAATGTAAAGACCAAGAGGAATGATGGGGGTTAGAAAATATGACCTATGCAAAAAGACAGAAGGAAGTGAAGGATTATTCAGACAACAAAAGAACAACAGAAAAAATGACAGTATTCTAATATACTGAGAAATCAGGTTAATTTGCAACAAAGATTTAGTTTGGGTATTTGGTGCGGGTGAGTATCTAACTGCAAAAGTGCTAAACACAGTAGCACAGGCTCCTTACAAGCCTTGTGGATTTTTTTAAGAATGAGTTGGCAATTCTCTCTGAACCTGGAGGGCTGTACTCTATGATTTCTTATGGTCCATTCAAGCAATATCTGGTTAGGATTCCATGACACAGTACAAACTTGAGTAAATATATGTAAATATATGTCCTGCTACACTGCCATTGGTGAAGTTTGCCATCTGCTGGTGATAGTTAGGAAAAATAAGACTGTTTTAAAAACCTAATTATAACAATTAGTATTTAAATGATACATGTATACTTAGCTGATTTTTAAAATAAATGAAATTATACTAGCAAGTATTCATTAAAATGAAGTTTATTTAATGAAGTTCAGTTGAAAATAGTCTGATATTGACTGAAAAATTCCCTGACAATTTGTGATTTTATAATGACATTTAAAAATGACCATTTGAAAATAGTTTCTATTCTTGATTGTAATGTCAAAACATCCCTTTAAAAAAAAGGTGGGGGGGGGGGAATTAATTATATAAAAAATGTCAAATGGTTGAAATAACTGGAAAAAAAAAGTCAGGATTTCTCTTTCCAATCTCTCATTCACAGCAACAACAGATATTGCCATTAACAGTAGAGGAAAACATTTTCAAGCAAAAGTACAAGCTTTAAATCTCTGCTACAAATAACAGTAGTTCTTATGCATAGCATCTTCTACAAAATCAGGCCTAGTTATTTTTTCAACATGCAAGCATTTGGCATGATTCTCTCTCTGTTTTAATTAGTGTAATACACAGAATGCTGATATCTAGTTCTCTCTGGCTAAGTTCTATGAAGAACTCTGCCTTGACAAGCAGTCTTGCAAAAAGAGTACTATTTATTGTATGTACCTGCTCCTTCATAGTATCAGTGTCATATTTCTTTCTTTTATTAATCAAAAGGAAAAAATGACCAAGGTTCAAACCCTGCACAACTAACCATCACAGAGAAGTACTCAAACTAATGGTTAAGTAAATGGTCATGAATTAATACTCAAGAAAAAAAAGAAATTTGATGTATTTTGCTTACCTTGAGTGAGAGAGAGCCAGCTAGAAAAAAGTGATCCACATCAATGACAGAAGAGAGGAAACCAGCTAAAGTGACTTCAGTAAAATCACTTTTCTTCCTGAGTCCAATCACTATTGCCCAGGACCACATACCCACCACACTGTGCGCTGCATTATCAGAGAGGGCTCGGAGCCAGTCATTTTGCTGAATATAAGAAAACTGCTGAAGTCGGTCTGCTACAAAACAGAAAAGCCCTAGTCCTAGACTGGAAATAACTGATGCTGTGCTGAAAGTTTGAAGAAGAGCATGGGCCTTTTCAGTCTCAGATGCCATAGCATGTAACATGTCACCGTACACAAAATGTCATCAGGATTTCCATAGGGCATCGTCTTTTAAATCTTCAGTCATACTGTAAATTGTCAGAGAAAAAAAATCTTAATGAAGAAGTGTATTAGGTAGCACTAAATATTTCTTATTCCCAACGGTCTGTGATAAAACATATTCTAATAGTAAATTCACTGTTTGAAAGTTAACTTACTCTAAAAACTTGAAATACAATTAACACAATTCACTGAGTAAAACATAGCACAAAAAATGGATTCAGAGCCATAATCTCAAAATAAGCAGATTAGTATATTGTAATGCTATTACTCCATCTTTTGAAATCTCTAATTTCATTAAAAAGAATCTCTGATAATTATATCTGAAATTACATTTGATCATATCTCAAGACTCCCTCGCATGATAAAGCCAGGATTTAATTACATTACTTAATTACATTAATTACCTAACACTGAAGCAAAGCTGTTTCCAATTCTGCCTAGCTGACTCAATTCTCAAAACCTCAGTTTGTCATTCTCTGAATTTTACTCTGATCTTTGATTACTCTTTCCCCATTAGAAATTTTCTTTATGTGCAATCAGAGTATTATTTCATATCCTGCAATTTATAAACCTACAATCTCACACACACTTTACTGAACAGCTCTTATTTTGTTTATGCTGAAGAAACTGAGACTTGCACAAAGTGTTCAAATAGAGGACTATCTTGCAATAATCAGGACAGGAAGGAAAATGAAGACAGTAATCTCCACACAAGAACAACTGAACAGAATTTTAATTCTTTCAGAGGAAATCTAAATATGCTCTTCCTCAACTAAATGCTCAGGAGAAATCTTCTACTGTTGTTTCTAGGACACTCCTCTCTACCAACTGTCACTTTTTTAATACTAATAGACAAGCAAATGGATGAGCAGAGAAATAACACTCAAAAGTCAAGCTTTTGCACTCAACTTTGGGATAAAAAATTCACCAAAATAAGGGAATCATACTATTACTGACAAAGGAAGTGTTTAAGAAATGGAAAATATTTATTTTTTTTTATATTTTATATTTATTTTATATTTTATTTATTATATTTATGCACTGTAATTTTAAAGGTCTCAAATGCCAGTGCACTGAACCTTGAGAATAACTAAATCTCCTTAATAACTGTTTACCATAACATCTCAAAACACACAGAATGAATCACTTTCAAAGTAGTTATTGCAAGGATGCATTCAAGCTCAAACACTAGCTGCTCTTGAAGACTGGTCTCCATGGGTAGATTGTATTTGGAAAAGAGCTAAAAAATCTACAAGGCTGTGAAATAACAGAAGAGACCAGAAGCAGCTAGCAGGCAGCAAAGTTGCCTTAAGAAAGGAGAGGCGCACCAATACATTGGTCCAATATTGGATTGGCACTGATATAAAGAAAATTGTCTGTATGGCCGACAACTTGGCTGACAAATGGCCTGTGCATGCACGCAGTTGCAAAGCAGTACGTAGGTGGCGTGGAGCAGCTTGGAGAGCTGCGTGCAGCTGGTAAGTCTGGTGTGGTGGAAGAGGAAGGGGGAAGGGAGGGAATGGGTGTCGAGGGCAGATCAAGGCCCCCGCACTGAGGGAGGGAATGGGGCGGGACAGAGCTGTGACTCATCTGGGGAGAAGAGGGAGGGTGGCTCCTGCTGCTGTGCACTACTTATTCAGGAGCCTCTCATCTGGCAGCTCATCCAGCAGCTCCAGCCACTCGTCTACGAGGGCATGGGTGGGGACAGGACGTGGGCACCCAGATCTGCACAGGTCAGGACTAGGGCTATATGGGGCTCTTCCTGGTGGGGGCTCGGCCAGGCATTGTTTGCATTTGGGGCAGGTTACAGCAGTGCTGGGGGAGGGAGGTTGGGGGAACTACGGCAAATTTTGGGGTGGTTGCAGCCCTCCCTGCCCAATGTCCCTCTCCTAGCACTGTTGCCACCTGCCCCAAGCACGGCCCGGCTCGGCCTGGCCCGGCCCAGCCCCCGCTGGAAGAAGCCCAGCGCAGCCTGCAGCAGCAGCCCGCCTCATACAGATCCAGGGGCACACGCTCCCTACCCTGTCCCATGCCCTCCCGGGGTGTGCGCAGCCTCTGCACCAGCCCCAGTTCCTCCCTCACTGCAGAGGCCTTGATTTGCCCCCTTCCCTCCCCACTTCCATCACAGCAGACTTACCACCCAGACACTGCTCTTCAAGCTGCAGGGATGGTATCGGAAATCAAATCAGTATCAGCTGATACACCTCCTTAAAAATCGGCTATTGGGTACTGGCCCCAAAAATCTCTATTGGTGCACCCCTATAAGAAAGGTTAGCCTGATTAGTGGAACATCAAGACCATTAAAAAGGAGAGATTATTGTTAACACCTCTGAAATAAAGAACAAGCCATTAAGTCAACTGGCTCCTTCAACTGTCTGAATAGTAATGAAACATCTGCTGCACTGCGGAGCAAGAATCAAGGCAATATGCTTCTATCCTGGGCAGAAAGTCAGGTTTCCCACTTAATACATGCGCTCCAATTTTGGGGGGCTGATTTTTGGGGGAAAAGGTAAGTGTTAACTCTGAGAAAATACGGTATTTGGAGAATCTTCTGCCTCATGTAAATGGTAGAATTCTGTCTTTTCCTTAGTTCTATGCATATTAAATTCAGAACTGAAGAGCAGTTTCTCTCAATTCAATGCATCTGACTGTTACACTGCAGAGTTATTTTTTTAAAACTTGTAAGAGTAGCTTAATTTGGATTCTAAAGCATGTATTCTTTTTTAAATTCACTCTTCACCTGTTTGCTATTTCCTTGCATTTCAGTGAAGGTTTAATAAGCAACGCCCTCTCTTTTTCATTTATTGGGAAATTTCAGAATGATAAACCAATTTATTTTGACAAGAACATTAACTCCTTTAATAAGGAGCATGTTCAGAAAAAAATAGGGCTGACACTGACATGTTTCTTGATAATAAATTCTTCCTTATTGCAAACCCTAAGAAATTTTAAGCTCAAATGTGTTTTCTTGAATATTTCTTTCCATTTTAAATATACTCTGGCTTATTGTAGTGTTATCCATGAATGCTTCATGTCCTGACCTGCTAGCACTGCTTTTTAAAGCAAAAAAGTTCATTGAAGCATTTATTTGAAAAAGAAAAAAGAAACACTGAATAATACATGGCACTTTGCATAAGAAAAAGTAGGTCAAGTTTAGAGACCATTAACCATGAGTGTTCAGAATCAGGTGGACATGAACCATTTTCTGCGGTTCTGCAGGCTTTACACACTTTTTCTTAAGATTATTCAGAAACATACTGCATTTTATAGAATTAAAACTCCAATCTTAGAAACAACTGATCCCAAACATCTAATGAACCATTTTCTTGCCAATTCAACAGTAGCTTTTTTACAAAGCAGTTGTCACTGCACAGGAGAAAGAAAGCGCTGAGAAACAGCTAAAAAGACCACATTTACATGATTTTCATATCAGACTGGATGTTATATCAATTCATAATATGTCCTCAATATATGACTTGCATTTGGGAATAGTGGCTGACAGTAAGGGCAGGTCTACAGTGTTTTTGTGCCAAGTCCTAGAGTACTGCCAGGAAGTATCTCCTCTTCTCCTCAAGCCAAGCCCAAGAAAATTAGGTAAAGCAGTTTCTCTAAACACAGCTCTGAGTGTCTACCAATAAGCATGCTTGAGACAGAGAGCCTGAGAACAGCCCTGGGTGTGTGTTATGCACTACCCTAAAGCAGGCACATTACTTAATTTCCTGGATTTGGCAGGAATGAACTGAGGAAGCAGGACATACTAGGTGGTATACTGTTTCCATGCTGAGCACCAAGTCACTGCAGAGAAGTCCAAACACAATGGGAGCCAAATTTACCAGGGGGGTAAACAGATGCATCTTTGGCCATATAGAGACATTGTTTCTCCTGGGAGAGTGTAGCACGGTTGCATCCCCATGGGTGGCTGTAAGCTCCTGGAGGCTCAAAAAATTTCCTTTTTTGCCCTGATCGCTCTGGGAACAGTCTCCCCCCTTCACTCACACATCATACCTTCATGTTTTTTTGTTTATAAAAGCTCTCCCAGGGCTTCCCAGACCTGGTCTTGTGTTAATAACCACCTGGTAGCTGTGGTGGTTCTTTGCCTTACGGGCTAATTGCATGCCTCCATACCTTCCCTACACCATGCCTCACAGATGGTATCACTGTGGACATTCTCTTTTCACATGCCTACACACACAGTTCTCCTCTGGGCCCTCAGACCTCTTGGTCTCTCACATAGGCCCCTTCTGGGCCCTCAGACTACTTGGTCTCTCTCATGGTCCCACTCAAGTCTCCAGACTGCTTGGTCCCTCACTCAGCCACTCCCTGGGCTGCCAGACTCTCTCAGTCGCTTGCTCAACTTCCCCCTGGGCTGCCAGATCGCAGACTTGTCCTTCCCTGGGGTTTGTTCCTGGTGGCACTTTCTAGGGACTGCTCTGCCACAAACAGCCCCACTACTGTGACCCTAAACCCCAGTAGGGTGCAGTTTTTGGTCATATTCAGGACCAGCTTAGGTCCTAGCCTCCATCCCCAGAGTCATGCTGTCCCTGTCCAACAACCCTGGCTACAAGCTCCTTGGCCCCTTTCCAATATCACCCCCTCCATGCTCCCTTGACCCCGGCTCTCTCCCTTTCTCAGCTCCTGGTCTCACTGGCTCTCATGCAGTCCCCTTCCAGGCTCAGCTCTCTCCTCCTTCCAGGCTACCTCTGGCCCCGACTCTCCTATCACCGGTTCTCCTGGTCTCAGTGCTGTCTCGGACCCTTTTCTACATCCAACGGCCCTGTTCTAGCCATCCTCATCAGGGCCTCAATTTCTCCAACCCCTTCCTCTGGTTGTGGCCACACCTGTACCTTTGGCTTCTCCTAGGCCCTGGCCGCACCTTGGGCCAGCTGAGAACTCTAGGCCCTTTTCTGGCTTCCACTGCGACCACCTCTGGCCTTTAGCCCCTGGCCCCCGGCCCCGCTAGCAGGCCAGCAAGATTCTACTGGCATCAGTTCTCCAGCCTACCAGTCCACACTCACTCACAGGTCCATTCTTATGTACCGAACCCCTTGATCTGCACTCCTCCCAGGCCTCACAATAGGTCTTATACGCTGAGCCCTTCACTCTGGACTCACCTGGGCCCTAGCCTGGGTGCCTAGGAACCTCCTCCAGACCCTTAGTTCCTACCAAGACCTCTGGACTGCTTCGGGTGTTATCCTCCATGCTGACCTTCTGGAATTGCAGCCACCCTGCTGAGAAGTTCTCTCAGGAGGCTCCCAGATGTTCCTGTTGGGCATCTCAGGGCCTGGGCTTATACCAGCTCTAAGCCTAGTGCTCCTCCAGAGTCAGATGACTCCCTCCTGAGTCAGGTGAGCCCCTCTATCAGGTCGAGCCTCACCTGCCAGATTCTTAGATCAGCTGACTACCCATTAGCACTGGCCCACACCTGCTTCTCAGGCTGCCTGACCTGTTAAAGTAGCAGGCACCCCAACTGCCCTACCACAGAGAGTTGCTGCATGTCCCAGTATAAACCACAAGAGGACAGATATTGTTCCGAGAGAAAAATAACCCAGGAACAAACAGGGTTCAATTGCTTCTGGAAAAGTTTCTCCTAAAACAGCGAATGTCAGTGCACACTTCCTTCTGAAAGAAGCCACAGCACAGTTTGCCAGCATCCCAGGGCACTTTGCTTCCCCCCCACAGCTGGGACAATGTGTATCGCTTGGGTTGCACTCTACTGCTTCAGTCAAGCAGGGAGCAGAACATGCCCCCTTCACTAGCTCCACATTGTGCTGCACGGAGACACAAGCTGACTCTGAGCAGTTTGGGTCAGCCAATCAGGACTGCTACTATCTGTCTTGGGCTAGATTGAGGGAGTCTGCAGACCAGACCAAAATGTGTGCACAGGGGCCCCCTGGCTGTGTAGCCTCAGCTCTGTGAGGTCTTCCCTCTTCAAGGGCTCAGAATTCAAATCTCTTTTCAGGCATCTCTGGGTGAGTTTTTCTACCAGGAAAACAAGCCCAGGAGAATTTTTCCAGATAATTTCAATGAGTATATGCAGCCTTTGTTTACTTCATTGGAATTGCACACACTTACTCCAGTAGAAAGTCTGGCCTCCACTCCACAGCTTACTGCATCTGCACCTGCTTGAACTCAGTCCAGTCAAATTCCAGGCAATGTATGTCAGACCACAGACAACTTGTCTTGGACCTGAATAAATCAAACCAAGGAACAGTAAGCAGCTACAAAACACAAAACTGTTATAAATCTCCCCTCCAGAAACATATAAGCAAAAGATACAAGACCAAATAGGGAAGGAATCAACATCCTCAGTTCCTTAACGTATAGTCAATTAGTTCTCAGACAAATATTATAGCCAAATAGGAAGTAACATCACTTTGACCAGAGAAGAACTGTGAAAGATTCTAAAGAACAGCAGAAGCAGCAGCAGCAACTCAGCTAATGCACTAGGTACCTTTTGGGGGGATCCTATGCCAACTGAAATAGGGAAATCCATCCAACGAAAAACATGGGAACCCATTTATAACTAGCAAGGCATCTTATATCACACAGTGTGATCGCAAATTACTGCTCCAACAGGAAGTCAGACTACATACAAGAAAAATGCAAAAATTAAAGAGAAAAAGATCAATTAAAGATAAACTGGTTTTGATACATATTAAAAAGTTCAACATAAGAACACCTACTGATCAAGAAGGCTAAGTCTTCAAAAAATACATTAAGCCCTATTTTTAGCGAGCCAAATCCCAAAACTGTACACAAAGGCAAGCAGTCAACCTAAGCCTCAAATCTATTATAAATATCCACTAAAATCTATCCATTTCAGCCTTAAAGCAACACAGGAAAAACAAATATACAAACACAGCCCCCCACTCCAGCCTAATACCAATGAGCAAAGTAACCTCCGGACTCTAAGAGCCTCCTTGTCCATGGCATATTTAACACAATATTCAATTCAAACACAATAACCGCAATACTATGGCACATTCTGGAATTCTTGTACAGTACTGACAATCCACTAATTTCCCCAATATGAAGAAACAAAAATATTCATGATTCAAGCAGCTACTGAGATATCTGAAGTTCCAGAATCAGTGAATAATGCCACAGGAAACTTTCACCTTTATAGCATGCAAGCTTATTAACACATTAAAACACAAAATGAGGGGGGAAAGAACATATGCTGCTTTTATAATAAAACTTTTTTTTTTTTTTTTAAAGTATGAGAGTTGATATGGAGCCCTGAATTTAATCAGATATCAAACAAAATTACCATATTTACCTGAATACAAGCTGACCCTGCATTTAAGATGACTCCCCAATAATTAGATTCTATACATGGAAATTTTATAAATGTATTATACTGCAGGAGGTGAGGGAAGAGATGATGAGGGGGGGCAGTAATGGGGCAGGTAGTGGGGGGTATGTGATGGTGCACACAATGGGCTGCAGTAGTGGTGGAGAAGAGGCAGTAGAGGGCAGGTGGTAGGGCAGGCAGTATAGGGCAGTAAGGGGGCAGGCAGTGGAGGGAACAGTGGAGCACAGGTGGTGAGGGGACGCATTGGCATGGGTAGTGAGAAGTGTAGGCAGCTTGTCTCCTGCCCCCCACTTACCCCTCCCCGTTGTGGCTGCCCCAGTCCGCTTTCTCCTCCATACCACTTCTTTCCCCACAGCCTAAGGGCCCTTCTTTTCCCCCACCCCATCTTACCTTTGTTTCTTGTTGGTAGGTTCTGTCCCTGCTGCAGCCTGGGGCCTTGAGCATTGCTCCAGCCTGGCCTCACAACAGTGGCTCGGAGCCAGCACTGCTGCTACAGGGCTGAGGCTGGAGCATGTGCTCCCTGCTCCAGCCTGCAGTAAGGACAGAGCCTGCTGGGTATACAGCAAAGGTAAGAAGTGCAGCAAAGGGGTAGAAGAGGCACAGGTAGCTGTTGTGGATCTGGCCCCAACCATGGTGTGGGGTTGGAGCCACTGCAGCTACCAGCCCAACTGTAAGATGAGGGGCTTCTCCCCCCATGATTAGACAAGGAGGTTTCCCCTCCACATTTAACAAGTAAATACAGTAGTATACAGGGATCTGACATGATTAAAGTGTAACAATCCAACTGCAAAACATGAAAAAAATGGGATTAAGCAAGGATGAATGTAGCCTCAGATCTATTCTAATCAATTTACAGCCACTCTATTAGACCAGGCCACCCTTGCAAGGTTATCACCAACTAAGATAAAAATAACTGCTATACCTACAGAAGCAGATCACATTTCACTCACACCACCTCCAGGCAAGCAGAGTTGCTAGAAATACAATGAAAGTTGTACTTTTTACACATCAACATAAAGGCGGCAAAAATCCCACGATCCTTTAAAAAAGCTCCATGTACACTTTCATTTTCGACAGAGCAACCAGGAACCATATTTTAGCCTCACAATAAGTGAGTTTCAGACTGAATATTAAATATTTTGAAAGTGTTTTCATTTTTCCTTTTCCACAGAGAACCCCCCAAACAGACTACTGCTTTAAGTATTAATTCATTCCACTCAACAGAAGAGAAATCTGACCCGCATTTACAAATCACAATAACAGATGCAACAAAAGAACAAAACCCATCAGAAATTCTACAATTGAAGATCCTTAAGTAAGTACAGGTACTCTTCACTTAATGTTGTCCCAGTTAACGTTGTTTTGTTATGATGTTGCTGATCTATTAGAGAACATACTCGCTTAAAGTCACACAACATTCGGTTATAACGTTTGGCTGCCGCCTGCTAGTAGGTAACTTCTGTGACGTAACATTCACTTAACATCATTTTGCTTAAAATTGCATTTTTCAAGAACGTAGCTACGACGTTAAGTGAAGAGTAGCTGTATTATATACACAAAGGTATTCCTAAAAAATAGCTGCGGCATATACAGAAATAAATTCCCCAAAATACATTTCAGAACTAAGATTCATCCAACTGATATGCAAAAGAAAATACTCTTCTCATTCCATGTCAACCTCCTTGTGCATCCTCTCTACCGAAGTGTTAGAAAATCCTACTTCATGTTATGGGAACATCAAACAGAAGTACGGAGGCGATACTATCTCTGCAAATGGCACTGGTGAGACTACTAGAAACATCAAGTTATGTGCACATAAAAACAATATTATTTCAAAGTGGAGAAGGTTCAGTGAAGGCCTTCAAGAATGATAAGTGACCTGAAAAATATGCCTTACAGTGATAGACTTATGGGATTTTAGCCTAGTTAGTGTATTAAGGACAGGGTTTAGGCCTACCTTTCATTTAAAATATTGCTGGTATAGTAACCTTGGTTAAGTTACAGTATTTATAGCTTTTCTATACTAGCAAAAACCTACTATAAAAATCAAGATTAGCAAGAATCACAACTGCAAAACCCTGAAAGAAAAGCCCCTAAAATAACTAACTGGTTTAAAAAAAAAAACACTTTGTGAAATGTTAGTAATAGAAAAGGCATCCTATCATTTCAGTTATACAAGGGACAAGGAAAAGAGGTGCTTACTGAGAAATGTGGTGGAAACTCTTGGAATGTGCTAAAAAGAATCTTTTCCTACTTTGAAACCAGAAAGTTTGAGAAACTCTTTTGAATGCTGAAGGAAAGTGCAAGTTCTTACTGTGCTAACACTTAAGACCTAACTTGGAATAAATTTAAAAATTTAAAAACAGAGATGACTAGAAGTTAGCGAGATTCAGATCATGCAGAACTCTGAGGAAAAAGGGGGGGGGTTGAATTATCATACAGCAATGAAGAAATGCAAAAGCTGAACAGTGACTGAAACAAAGGAAGCATCAGGGATTGAAAGACGATGAAAAGTACACAAGGACTCCTGTGGACACTGACTTTGGCTAAGGGAGCACTAACGATGGAAGGCAAACATCTGTCTTTATGCATATTTTAGGGCAGCAGTTACCAATCTGTGGTACATATTAACAGATTTATTATAATTACTTTATATGACAAAAATTTGCTGGTGGTGCTTAAGGTTGTATTGTTTTAAAATGGTGGTGTGCAATCTGTCAGAGTTTGGGAACCACTGTTTTTGGGGATTGGATGAATCTTTAAACGTTAAATTTATTTGATAAATTAGGTTTATTAATAAAATTAAAAAACAAAAAAGGTCAGCAGAACATGTTTTTGCTGATAAAGATTTAGAAAGCAGGGATAAGCCATACAAGCAGATGCATTTTACCAGTATATCTAGTAACAAAAAGGGTACCTTGATCCATGGCTAGAAATGCATATGTAGTAAATGATACCTAACCCTAGAAGGCTCTTTAAATCACCACACAAGGACATAAGGAAACCTACTGGGTGAAAGTGGAAATTAGATAAATTTAAATTGGGAACTGACTGTTGGGACAGACTGCTGAGGCAGGTAGTAAATTCCCTTGTTTTACATCAACATGGAGTATCTCTCTCTCTAAAAGATGTGCTCCTGCTCAGTAAGGTATTAGGTTCTAAAACACACATGAAAACTAACAAGTGAAAACAGCAGAGTCTGTTTGATGCTCAAAGTCATCACAGATACTGGCCCCTTCCAGCCTTATAAAGACACCTTGAAAATTATAAAAATAACAGTGCTACCAAAAAAAAAAAAGGGGAGCAAATACAATGAAGAGGAAACGCAACTAACCTGAACCAACCTTTCCGAGGTCACTTTCCACACCAGCACGGCTGCAACCCACAGCCCATCCATCCCAGCTGCTCGCCCTTCCCAGTCCGCTCCCGCGACACGAGCCTCCACCCGCGCGCATCGGGAGCAGCCCCCAGGACACGCGGAAGCTAGAAACCGAGACCCCACTTCGGGAATGGAGACGCTGGAGAAAGACGTGGCCGCCACCCGGCAGGAGCCCCGCGTCCCGGCAAGCGCCACCCAGGGGCCCCAAGCAGCGCCGGCTCCGGTCCAGCCCCCCCCGCTCCGCCCGAGGAAAGGTAACGGCAGCCACCAGCCCGGACGCAGCCCTCAGGCCGCCGCCGCCAGCCCCCGCGTGTTGTCGCTGGAACGGAAGGACGGCGCTGAGGAGAGGAGCGGAGCGGAGGCCCCGTCCGGCCCGCACCCACCTGCGCCGCTCCCCGCGACCCGGCAGGCGGGCGCAGCACAATGACAGGACCCACATCTCGCCAGCGAGACGCGGCGGCCGGGATAGAGCGGCCGCGCCGAGACGCAAAGCACGCCGGGATAACGGCCGGAGGCGAGCGCTTCCTCCCCACTCCCGCGCGGTTGCCCGGCAACGCAGCCCCGAGCCTCCCCAGGGCCGGCCCCCCAAGGTAAAACTCCCTGCCCCAGGCTTCCAGTGCTTAGGGCAAAGCCACCCCGAGCACTTCAGATCATCTTTAGTTGAAAGAAAAAAAAAAAAAGTCCTCAATGGGAAGCAGGCGCAAAGAAACAGGGAAAATTATTCGTTGCAGAAAACGCCTCTCCATTCATTCCCCCCGCCCGCGGACCACCTCCGTTTGCACTCTCCCTGACTGGCTTTCTTGTCTAGCGCTGTTACCACGCTGTGGGGGAACAGCACGGACCATGGCTGACACTGCCTCACCTGACCCAGTCGCCTCTGCCCACAAGCTTGCTAGGAACTGTTCCAATTATTGGAGTTGCTCTTATACAAGATATCGGATTTACCCAGAGAATCTTGTCTGCCTCATTCATTGAAACGCACTTTGAAACCGTGTCCAGGTCCAGTCAGAATACTTAACCAAGCGTAGGTGGGGATTCTCCACATAATCACTTGTAAAACAAAACAGGCATCTGAGACTGTAATGTTGCTGAATGAGGCTGGCCCTCTAATCCCTTCACCACCAAATACGTCATTTAAAACATTTATTTATATGATGACCTCGGTTGATGTACAAAACATTTAAGTCAATTTAACTGCTAATAAAAGAAGCACTGTACATAAAACAAGATTACAAAGCAATTTGTTTTGCGTGTTCTTCTCTCTCTCAGCCTAGCAGGCTTGAATGCTACTACTGGAGTTGGTCGAAAGTCAAATTGAATTTTCTGTTTTTTTTCACAACTCATTTAAGGCCTGATCCTTCTTTCGTTCCACCCAATACTACCCCTGGATACACAAGACTACAGGACAACAGGCCATAAATAATGGAGGTCTTTCAAGCCCTTGTCCAAGCTTCACTTCCCAGAGGTGGACAGGAATGATTCAATATCTTGGATGGCTTTAGAAGTTTTTTCCAAAGCCTCCAATACGCCGTTTTTACCAATTTCTTCAGGTAAGCTGATGTTTTCTGGTAGTCTGTTGGTAATGCATGGTAGATCACATTTCACAGCTGCAGTCTTGCTTGGAACTCTGCTGTTCTCCAGTAAAACTAGAGGTTATATTTCTTAAGGAAAATTCAAACTGTTCTACCCCTAATAATAGAAACATTATTTTAAAATATTCTAAAATCACCATTCTGCAGTCATTTTGCCATTGTTTGCTGCAGTCAGTAAATAAGGTTAAAAAATAAGAGATCAAGCTCTTTAAAATCTCTTGGTTCCGGAGTGTCAAAGATACAGCCTGCAGGCCATAGTGTGTGGGTGAACTCACACCCCAGGGGAGCACTAGGGGCAGGATGATAGGTCTTCACGAGCACCATCAGACCAGCCCTGTCTACAGGGCCTGGGAAGTGTGTCACAGTCAGTGCCTACCTCTGGCTGCCCTGGGACTTTCGCTGAACATGGCAGCTTAATGTAGCCAGGGTCCTGGGGGCAGCCACCACATGCAGCATGGGTCCCGAACCAACAGGGACAACTACTACACATACTGGATCCAGCATAGGGTGGGGGAGATGGAAGGAGAGCAGGAGAAAGCATCTGTGGGCCTGATCTAGCCTGTGGACCAGCCTCACACCACTCATCTGGCCCATGTGGGCAAATAAATTAAGGTAGGGATGTCAAACTTATTTCAAGAAAGCTTCATCTATAGAAAAAGAATACTTTTCTTACACATAAAAAGTGTACTTAAAAAGGAACAATACCAATGGAGCACAGAATGTCAGATTATGAGATGCAAATACCTTAAAACTGCAAATTGAAAAAACAAAACAAAACCCAAAGTGAGCTTAGAGACAACTGTATAGCATTTTAAACGCATGAAGCACCAAACACTCTTTTGCAGCTGAATGAACACAAGAGCCACACTCAGGTACTTGCTAACTATAGAGAAAGCTCATTGTGAGTAGCAGGCCAAAAGTACATGCATCTGTGGCAGGACGCGACCTAGGGGTGCCGTGAACTCCCCTAGCGCCCCCTACCTACCGTGCCAGATCAGGTTTAATGCACCCTTGATATCTCGCCCGCCACATCTTTGATGTTAATATTGAAGGGAGGCTGCCTTTCTAACCCTCCTTGGCAGGGTGCCTTAAGATGTCCTAGTCCGTGCCCTGCCTTCAGTAACACGGCGCACTCAAACCTCTGGGCCACAGGTGAGTCCCACAGTCACCTGTGCCCTCACGGGTCCCTGGACTCGCCTGTGATGCCCACCTGTGCCTCCTAGCTTCTCCCGTGCTCTTGCCCCACCAGGGCCCATCTCGCCTCGCAATTCCCGCAGCCCACGCCGGGGCCTCTCACACCTCGCAATTCCCGCAGCCAGGGCTTAGGTGGCTGTAGCCATGCCTGGCCCCCAGACCCCTTTTTTGGGTCCTACGCCCCACTGGGGCTTCTCACAATCGGGGCTCAGGCGGCCTCGGCCTTACCTGGCCCCCAGACCCCCCTTTCCGGGTTCTATGCCCCACTGGGATTTCCCATAATCGGGGTTCAGGCGGCCTCAGCCTTACCTGGCCCCCAGACCTCCTTTCCAGGTCCTACGCCTGACTGGGGCTTCCCACAAGCGGGGCTCAGGTGGCCTCGGCCTTACCTGGCCCCCAGACCCCCTTCTTGGGTCCTACGCCCCACTGGGGCTTCCCACAAGCCGGGCTCAGGTGGCCTCAGCCTTACCTGGCCCCCAGACCCCCTTCTTGGGTCCTACACCCCACTGGGGCTTCTTGCCTGCGCCCACAACGGGCTCCTCCCAATGCTGCCCACACTGGGGCCGGGGTCGGGACACCCCAAAACGCAGCATCCTCTCCAGCACCAGGAACCACCCCCACTACTGGAGAGCTCCCATGAGGCCTCCTCCAACCCCTACAGCCTCACCCGGTCCTCCAGTGTAACGATAAAGCAAAACCATAAGCCAATCGGCTGCAACACAAAACCCAAGCCTCCTGGCTAAAACTCGCCCCCTAAGCCCTCTGGCTAATCATCATTTCCATCCCTGCCAGGGGCTCCTGTACTTGGTATCCTCACCCAAAAGCTGCTCAGGTCATCAGGCTTCTCAACTCCGCCTACTCCCAGCAGAGCTCTCTCTTCCTCGGCTGACAGAGGGGAACTGCCTCTGGTCTCAACCTGGCTTGTTTATAAAGGCCAGGCCCTGCCCCCTTCCGGTCAGCTGACCCCTGTGGTTGCCCCGGCAACCAACATCTGTCCTCCTTTAGGAGCAGGCACTTCAGTGCCCTGCAACAGCATCATTTTCCTTTGTAAGAAAAAAAGAGAGAGACAGATAGAAATAAAATACAAATGTGTGTAAAGACAGCCATTTCCCCATCAGGATTCCTATGCATTCTGCTGCTTTTTAGCATTTTAAGTGGTGTCACATTGAGAACATGGTAGGATATGTATGCGAGCAGAAATGTTTTTTAAAAAGGTAAGAGGGGAGACTTATGTAATAAAAGGAGCAAGACTAGGTCATAAGGTTATTATAAAACTGTCCAATAAGGTTTTACCTTATGTACACTGAAAATATCAAAATATTGTTGGAAGGATACAGTTAAATCTCTGTATTTTCTCAAGTTCAGCAGCAACAGACCTGTGAAAAAGATAATTTAAAATGTACTCTATATAAGGAGATACAGTTTCTCAAATATATTTTTTTAGTCAACAGTTTTTATTTCTTTATGAAGTTTCATGAATATGCTTTCCTTTTATTTTTTAAAGTCAATGGTATTATTCACATAGGAAATGCGAAACATGGGCAGCTGTTTGCAGAATTAGGATTTTGGTCTAAGAGTCTTCCTCTACCAACGTTATCATGTGTGCGCACTGGCAATGGAGTTGTAAGAAATAATGCATATTTTTAAAAGACAATGTCAGCTTGAAGCCTAGTTAATTTTAAAAGCTCATTTAAATGTTAACTACTACATTAGCTCCTAAGTCTCTCTCCCACATATTGCAGTTTTATATATTATTGCATTTTTTATGTTTAATGTTTTTCTCCCATTGCTATGTGAAAACATACACACAAAAAGGGAAAAGAGGGACCATGTAGACTTACTACCTACCTCAGACTGGTCAGGTACAATGTAAACAAAACAGATAATTTTCCCCACTAGTGTCAATAGTAATGCTGACTGCAATCCTTTAATATCAATAACCAATAATACTTCACACAGAAGTAGATGGTGTGGAACATTACAGATTTTGTAGAGCATAGGACATTGTGCTCTGATGGCAACACAATCAGGGGATAGTGATACAAATATCTTAGCAGTAAATTGGTAAATGTATAAAGGCATCATCCACTCTTCCCAGTACATCTGTGTAACAGTTATTAGCACCATGCTATTTGTGCACTTCCCAATATGAGAAAGTGAGGATGCAGCTCAACAGGTTGGGGTTTTGGCAATTTTGTCATTATGGAAATGATTGGTTTTAATATGCCTGACTCTTAGCTCAGTTCCTCTGTTTCATATTTAAGCAGTCAAAATAAGGCATTTGTAACATTTATATTCTGCTCTTGCAATAAGCATTCTAACTTCAGTACAAAAAAGGAGAAAACAAAATAAGGAAGCCAACTGGAACCAACTTCCAAGGGACGTGGTGCTCTCTCCTACCCTGGGGGTCTTCAAAAGGAGGCTAGATAATCACCTGGCCGGGGTCGTCTGACACTAGCATTCTTTCCTGCCCATGGCAGGGAGTCAGACTTGATGATCTGCTCGGGTCCCTTCCGACCCTACCAACTACAAAACAATGTTTTGTGTCAGTATAGTATTTTAAAAGTATGCAGGCAATTTGTAAAAAAATTATGAGAAAAGTCAGAGAAAAAGGGTTTTCAACCAGAGGTATGCATATCCTTGGGGGTACTTTGAAAAGTTCCAGGAGGTTCATGGGAGCAGGTGGGGATGGAGTGCTGCCACCCTGTACAGCTGCCTCACAGGAGTAGGGTTGGGGCAGGGCTACAGCAGGGTCGTACTGATGAGTTTAAATGTTTCATTTCACAAACTCAAGAAATACATCATATAAAGTTTAAAATGTAAAGTTCTGGTGATCTTGTTTAACAGTCTGAATAGTAAATAATGGTAATTATAATTAAGTACCAGTTCTCCTCCAAAATGGGGCCTGGAGCATATGTAGGAGTGCCTCTCTCTCCATTCACACTTTTACACCATGCTACTGCTGTTCTGATGTACCTAAATTAAAAAAAGAAATGGTATTTCGATCAAACAAATATTCTGGATAGCTGATCGAAAGCACTGAATAATATATCTGCAACAGGGGATAGAACATAATAGAGCCAACATCAGACATATTCTTTCATGAATTTCCCATGATCACCTCCTGGCTAAACTGGCTAACTGCAGCCTTGATGTCCCCATGATCCACTGGCTGGGGAACTGGCTCTGCAGAAGGACCCAGAGGGTGGTGGTCAACGAGAGCCAATCGTCTTGGTGTGCTGTGACCAGTGGGGTC